AGAATCAGCTCGTCTGCCCATGTTCAAGCTCATACGAGTTGTAGGTACACAAGACCTCGAACCACGAAGCACTTGAATTTTAACACCGCATGCTTTCCAAAGCAACCAGGTCGAGGTGAGAGAGAGAGAGAGAGCTCAGCCGTTTGCATTTTGGAACATTTATGCGCTAAGTTTACGGAGGGGCTGCCGTTTGCAGGTCTTTACAAGTGTTTTGTACGGAAGCACCAGTGGGCTTTTCGTCTTTGTGGGTATTCCAGAGGCACATTTGCCTGGGCAAGCTCCTTGTCACGGGGTTGTTACAATGACGAGCCCGCTTATTAGGTGTTCAATACAAAAGCCACAAGGACTGCACGTTGACCAGCACTTGGGTTTAGGTATTACAACTTAGATCGAAGCTAGAGTCCACGCCAGCCTCGCGCACGATTGAAAAAGCTAGGCTTGTGTAGCTCGTGACGCCCAATCTTTCGGATTTGCTTTCCGATGCAGTGCTTTTAAGACCATGCCAAGCAGACCAAGCATCACCTGTCTGATAACACATCTAGATTTCACTGCCCAAAGACGCAACAACGGTCTGGCATGGTATGTGCAGGCGTACACCCGCGAGTCAAACTGCTTTCGATGGAATGCCCCCCCCTATGTCAAGTGCTCCTTCCAAAAGTGTGTGAAGACACCTACAGAAAAACTGCCTTACACCCGCAAAGCCCCAGTAAACAAGCAACGTACTCACGTCATGCATGCGCGTGCAACTGCATCAAGGAAAACAGGTGTGCACTGCAACGTGCCCTGCAAATAAAACACATAGCTATGGATGCACGCAGTTACCGCGAATTAAATCCTAACCCCGCAGCCTTAGCGGAAGGTCAGGGAGGAGCGGGGTCGTATATTCAGCCCGAGTCCAAACCAGCACGCAACGTGTAGCGGCAATGGAGCAGCAGAGAAGTAAGTGCGCACAGAGCGGAACCGGAACGGGCTGTTGTGTTGCACAGCCGGGTGAAAATAAGCATGCACGCAGAATATAAGCAAGATCCAGGTGTTATGCCCCAGTAAGATATCAATGAGCAACACGCAAAGGTCAAGACCTCAGTATGCATGGCGATGCCGTAATGTCCTAGACCAGCATCAGGAAATACGTGTTATGCACCTACAATGTAAAAAAATCGCAAGGGGCTACATCCGAAATGTGCAAAGCTGCAAAACACAGAGTTGTGGATGCACCCACAGGATAAGCAATTTGTACTGCAACATTTTGCGGAGCAAGACACAAATCTCACACCGTCAATGAATGTCATGCAGCCCCCCAATAAGCGAACAGCAAGCACTACATCTTGTATGTGTATGTGCACGTTATTGTCACATAATTGCAAGGTACACAGATTTAGGTCGCACGTCCCCAATATGCAGCATGTTCTTTCACGTCTGCACCAACATGCTTCGGCTGAGCTTCCACCTTGAAGTAGGTAATTTTACGTCGATGTCAAGATTCATGTGCTTCGGGGTTCCAGGTTCACGCACGTTTCACCTGCCGTTACGCCCACCTGCTGGAAGGACCGGCTTGACCGCAACAGAGGAGGCACGCAACGATGCGCAGGACCTTGCTCTCGCCAGGCTCCTTCGCCAGGCCGGAAGTCGGACAGCCATGTATTCAGCTTCTGAGTGAGGTCGGGCGTTCAGGTCTGAAAGCTGAATGAGGAGCCATCAGCTTTGATCCATGTCTCTTACACGTGCTGCTGCTGGCAGATGGAGCGGCAGGGCATTCCGGTTCCGATTATGCCGCCGGGGACTTGGCTCACTGCAGGCTACTTTGCTAGGAGGTGCTTCAATTGCTCCTGTGTAGACTGCAAGTAATCTTCATGCGCCCCCGATGAATCATATATGCAGGGATTGGGCTACATGCGGCCTTGCTCTCGTTGCCTGCATCCCAAGACCTATATATACTTATCAAGCTTGTGAACCGAGAATTGAATTTCACGACTACGCGAACCCACCTCCGTGGTATGTAAATCAACAACAACAACAACAACAACNNAGCCTGACCTTACCTGAGCCGAGAGGCTTACACCACCAACAACAACAACAACAACAACAACGACGACAACGACAACGACAACGACAACGACAACGACAACGACAACGACAACAACAACAACCAACAATAAACATACGACATCAACCAGGTTAATCAACAACAAAGAACAACACCCACGAGACCAAACAACACCACAGAACAACAACCAGCACCAACAAGCAATAGCAAGCAACAACAAACCACCACACAGAACTACACACAACACCGAACAACACCAAACAACAACAACAACAACAACAACAACAACAACAACCACAACCACAACAACAACAACCACCACCACAACCACAACCACAACCACAACCACAACCACAACAACAACAACAACCACAACAAAAACCAACAACAACAACCACCACCACCACCATCACGACGACAACAACAACAACAACAACAACAACCACAGCAGCAGCAGCAGCAGCAGCAGCAACATAAACAATCAAGAACCACAACAACAACAGCAACAACAGCAGCAAAATCGACAACAACGACAACGACAACGACACCGACAACGACAACGACAACGACAACGACAACGACAACAGCACAACTACAATACCCATGGTTACAACTAGGACTAGAACTACAACTACAACTACAACGACAACAACTACAAAAAAGGCAGCAACGACAATAACAACTACAACACCACCGCCACCACCACCACCACCTCGACCACCGCCAACAACAACAACAGTAGCAATAAAAAACAACAAGAACAACAATAAAAGGAAAACAACAGCAACAACAACAACAACAACAGCAAAAACAACAACAACAACATCATCAAAAACAACAACCACAGCAGCAACAACAACAACAACAACCGCAACCGCAACCGCAACCGCAACCGCAACCACAACCGCAGCAGCAACAGCAGCAACAACAACAAGGTACCACAACAACAACGACAACGACAACAACAACAACAATCACAACAACAACACCAACACCAACACCGGCACCAACACCAACACCAACACCATCACCACCACCAACAACAACAGCAACATCAACAACCAACAACCCAACAACAACAACAACAACACCAAGCCCAACCACAACAACACAACACCACCACCAACAACAACAACAACAACAACAACAACAACCACAACGACAACGACAACGACAACAACGACAACGACAACGACAACGACAACCACAATAATAACAACAACAAGAACAATAACAATAATAATAAAATAAACAACTGCAATAACAACACCACCACCACCCCCACCACCACCACCACCACCAACAACAACAACAACAACAAAAGCAACAACACCAACACCACCACCACCACCACCACCACCACCACCACCACCACCACCACCACCACCACCACCAACACCAACACCAAAAACAACAACAACAACAACAACAACAACAACAACAACAACAACAACAACAACAACATCACGAACAATTGCATCACAACAATGACAGCAATCACAACAATCGCCGCCACAACCACAACCACAACGAGCACCACGACCACGGCGACGACGACGACGACGACGACCACACCAGCAACACCGGCAACGTCCGACCAGAAAAAACAGCCAACGCAACCGCAACCACAAATAAACACAGAAAAACGACGACGACAGCAGCAGCGCCAATAGGTTGATCAATTTGAACGAGAGACAGATGCGGTGTGGCACATCTACCAGGTGCAATGTGCATACTTGTAAGCACAACAGAAGACTCCCGGGAGCCCCCCTACCACGTTGAGATGTAACCTGGGCGTGTATCCCCTCGGCCCGGCTGTACTTGAAGCAGGTGCACTGTTTCGGAAAGCAACAGGTAGGTGACGCAGGTGAGGTCTTGCGTGAAGTGCATTTGCTTCAGAATGTGGTTTTAATGTCAGTATTTGTTTTCATGCTGATGCTGTGAGCAATAATCCCACGAGAAAGGTAGCACATTCCCTGCATTATCCTAGAATCGGCGTTACTTTAAAATCGTATTGCACTTTTTCACTACAACCTCCCGTATGTTGCAGGGGAATGGGGAGTCAAGCTTTTGCAACAAAGTACCCCAGAATTCCCAGGCTTGGCACCAATTTCACGAGTGATGTAAGCTAGCCTGTCTTGCTTCGCCCGCCGCAAGGAAGAGACCAGGGAAGGGGGGAAGGGAGGGGGAAGGAAACACTGAATGTTACACATCCAGGTGCCCCTTTGTTTCACAAGCCACTTGCATGTATCCATGCCTGTTGCTCAAGGTTCTAGCAGAATAGTCTACAGCTGTGTGCCTGCAGGTGCAAAGAGGCTCCTGCGTTGCACTTGCGAGGCGGACGAGTGCTTAAAAACTAAGATGCCTTCTAGCCAAGAAATGAAGGGTATCCGACGTTTTAGGATCATTTCTCAATTCGGGTGTTCTCAATGAGAAATGTAGGGGGCTACGTTTCTCATTTTGGTTTGTTTACAGGTCCTAACCCCAGGGCATGGGGCAGAGGCAAGAATAAGAAATGTAGGGGGCTACATTTCTTATTTCGGTTTGTCTCCAGGTCCTAATTCAGGGCACGGGGAAGAGGCCAGAATCAGAAATGTAGGGGGGCTCGGTTTGTCATATTGGGTGGTTTCCACGTCTGTCCAACAAAACTTCCCTCTGCTTTTCAATTCTAGATAGAACGTAAATTTCTGTGCCGCGAAGTTCGGCAAAGGCCAAAACAAGAAATGTAGGCTACGTCTCTTATTTGGGGTGGATTCCAGGTCCTAAGCCTACGGCACAAGGCAGAGGCCAGAATCAGAAATGTCGGGGGCTAAGTTTCTTATTTTGGTGGTTTCCAGGCCCCAAGCCTTGGGCAGAAGGCAGAAGTAAGGGGCTTCGTTTCTAATTTCGTTGTTTTCCAGGGCCCAAGCCTAGAGCAATGGGGGGATCCCCTACATCGGCCAGCAAACCGATCTGAAATGAAGTCTGTATAAACAGAAATTTACATGTGTAGAACACTGTCCTGGCGGTGTCTGTCAAGCCTATTGAAAAAAACCTGTGGCTCCGCACCTAGACTTTCATGTGCTCGAGCCCCGGCTGAGGAATGAGCAAGAAACGAAGTTGTAAATGAAGGGTACCCTACGATTCCGGAGCCGGGACATGTGGAAAAATGAAACCAAAAGGAAATTAAGAAATGAAGGGCACTCAGCTGGGAGCTGGCATTTCATATCCAGTGTAACCTTTAACATAAATCTATTTCGGAGTCTGAGCACGCTGCCATAAAGTGATAGCGAAGCTTGGTCAGGTTGGAACCCGAAGGCTGCGAGCTCGCCAGTAGCTGCAGCTGCACCTTAGCACAATCAATCACGTTTGCCGGCTTGAGGGGGAACTGTGTACAGACACACCTCAACCTTGTGCTGGTCTTGCCAACGTAGCACCACATCACTGTGCACACGCACAGAAGGATCCATCTTCGAGTACAGGTTCTGACCTGGCCGAGAAGCTGTCGCCTCAAAACAGGCTGGAAAGGGCCTGCTGAGACTTCCGCTCTTGTTCTTCCATCTGAGTGCCCCCAGTGGTACCTGCCACTGCGCACTAAAAAAGCGAACAGAAGTGCGCCTCGAGAGCTGTTGCATGACAGAACGATCCGGATCCGGCCCGGAAGCCTTGGCAAAGGTTTCGGCTAGAATGGCTTCATCTCATCCAGCATTCGCCCGTGGACCAGCAAAAAACATCCTTGCGTCCGTGCAGCCTTCCCACCTTCATTCTACTAATTATTGGTTCCCGAGCTGCGACCTGTCTATCTCTCTTTTCTCGTCGCTGTCCCCAGTGGCAGGGGTGCTGGTCCCAACCTGCGGTGCCTTTGGCCTCTGCTAGCAACCTACAAGCTTCAAGAAGTTCCACGTCTGGCTCTCCTCTAGGCCCGCCCCTTCGCCTGCCTCACCACTAGCAAGGTCTGAAGCCTCATGCTTGGCTGTTGGACGGATTCGCATAAGTTCAAGAGTTCGTCTTCAAGTTCCTCCGCGAAAATTACTGGACGAAGGCCTGCACAACAAAACCATGCATTTGTCGAATACCGCCGCATGGACTTGTTCACACATCATCCATGTGCATGTCTGGCAACGATCGATTTCGGGAGTAATGTGCTCCGCCGGCCGTCGGTGCTGGCATATGGTTTTGTGTGCTGTGCTGAAGTCCGACGCATATCCGCACCGGACATCAGAACTTTGCAATGGCAAAGCTCTGGACAGCCTGCCAGCTCGTCCACGTTGCAAGGTCACACTTTTCCGTGCCCCTGAGTGGACTCCACCTTTTGGCCAAAACTCTGCGGCCTTCTCATTCCGATTGCAGACACAAACTCGGAAGCGAGCTCAAAGGATCTCCAAAGTGAGCCTTCTGATGCTGATATGATCAACACAAGCTTCGCCTTGTATGGAAGAGCACCAGGAAGCCTAGTGCCAGAGATAGTCTCATCTGACCTCAGCTGGCTTTACAAAGTCTACAGAGTCAGAGTCAGAATATCTGACGCGAATTTCCACCCGTTGCCACAGCTACCAACGCTGTTTGCCTTGTATAGTGTAAACAATCTGATATCCCTGTTCATCCCTGTTCTGGTGATTTCTGGTGAACAACAATCCAGTTCAGTCTTGAAAATCGAGGCCACCGAGGGCAGCACGCCTGGTACTCCAGCTCGATCCGCCTCGGACGAGCAATTGGGTGGGTTTGGTTTGCCATTTCGCCTTTTTTCAGCCACATCACGTCCCGAGGGAATCCAGTGGTACCGCGGCGATTCCCAGCCTGCCGGGACGAACATCAGATAAAGTCATAAAGTTATGGAAACGGGTGTCGCGCTTCGGAGTTTCTCAAGACGTGAAGCCACCAACGTTGCCCACAAAAGGAAAACCTAGCCTCCCCTGCGAGGCATTGGTCTCCATGACACTCCTTGGGCAAAGGTCATCCAGGCTTTCAAAGATCGATCTGCTTCATTGCCGAGACACGGGGCGGCCCAGGATGCCACCATGGGCAAGGCATCCACGCTCCGAGCGGCCTGCACTCACGCAGCGAGGCTTCGTCGTCTCTCAGATGGCTTCGCTTCTTCGCAGCTCGTTGACTGCTGGTACGGCCTGGCCAGGGTGGACTCCCGCCAGCAAGGCAGAGACGAGGCTCTCGCCCAGAGTCTGCAGCGCTGCCAAGGTCCCCTGCCAGCAGAGCAGAGCAGAGGCGCAGAATTCTCCAAGAGCCAAGACCACGACCTGCTGCACCAAGCGCCAGTGCTCCGCCTACGACAAGGACAAGGCATGTCCAGAGCTCGTCGGAGCCTTCACGCGCTGTGCATATGTGCATGCTGAGTGCCTGTGCGAGAGCGGCTGACACTTCGCTCGTGGGAGCACCGGTTTCCTCCAGAGTGTTTCAAATTGAAATGCGAGCTGGGCTACCAAATATCCAGCTCTTTTCAATTTCACAGATGTGTATGAACCCACACGACTAGATTCCTCCAGCCATTTGCATCTGGCAGTCCTCCAGCCATAAAGCTGCCGCCAAGGCTGGCCCGGGCTGGGGAACCCGAATCGAGCTCCCGTTTCCCCCGTACTTGGTGTTGTTCCTGGGCTCCAGGGACTCAGACCCTCCTGGAATGCGTGGAGTGCACCACGGCCACCACGAGCTAGTCAACAGCTCTCACGCCCCACGGTCTACTGAAAAAAGCAGGAATGATGTCGGCTTGAGCAGAGGCTCCAGAACAGCTTCAACAGCTCTCGCCAGAGGATGTCCTGAAGGCGTTGTTGCTAAGAGAAGCGTGCCAATATGACCGAAGATGTTGAGATTAATAGCCAAAGTGACAAACCACAAAGCTTGCGGCCTCGCAACTTCGAAAAGAGCTGCTACCTTTAAGAACAATCCAAGATCAGCGCTTCAGGCAGCAACAGTGTCTCATCTTCGTACTTGCTGCGTGCTGTCCGACTGCAGGCATGATCAAAGGTGTGATTAGCGGCTGCAACACGATTGTGGCAAGTTAGGCACACGGAGAGCCGAGAGAGGAACTCTCTGTCACACTTCGCCGACGGCCCCTTGTGCATTGTGCAGCTTTTCCATCTGGCATCTTTCCATCGCACCTACTTGCTCCTGTCATGCTTGCTAAGCTTTGAACGGGCCATGGTCAGTTTCGGCTGCATTGCTGCAAACATCAGGCAACCCCATCCCCGTGCTGAAGATTGCTGTTTCCGCGGTTGCAGCCACTTGTCAAAAAACGCCGACATGGGTTTGGTTGGGGTTTAAGCCTTCAGGGCTTTAACGGATGCCTTATCTGCATGTAACGGAAGCCCCGGCCTTCTCGTTTCTCAAACCCAGGGTCTCGCTCAGCGACGGCTCTTTGCCAGAACGCCTCAGCTCGTCAAGGACCGAAAGTTCGCTGGGCGGAAACTTTGGGCCAGAGGCACCCGAAGCCCAAGAAGGTGCCTTCGGGCACCGAGCATGGACACGGATAGGGCTCCTGAGATGATTGAAGAGCTTCAGGGTGGTGCAGTACCGGCCGGTTCGGGGTTTTGGGGTTTTACTGATAACATGGTGGGGTTTTACTGATAACATGGGCTGCCCGCATAATGGGCCTATAAGGAGCTCGTGTCGGAGCTTTATCGACTACAAATCCTGCCCGTCATGCTAGCACATTCCTTTAACCCCATTGCTCTGGTGTGGCTTCGTGTTAGTACATGATGAGGGTGTTGTCTTGCTAGTATCCCCACAGGGGCACGCCAAGTTCGCATGGTGAAGCTTTCAAAAGAATCGTTCATGGAAGAGAGGTCGGCGACATCAGCCATGATGAATGTGATGAGCAGCTGTGCGCTGCCGGGAAATAAAACTAGTTCGGGAAAAAGACGTGGTTTGTGCACCTGCGTGCGTCATGGATACTGCAACTGGCCATTGCACATATCTGCATATACAGGCATATGCGAACCACATGTGCACATAGTTGTATATATGTGTACATGTATAAACATCTCTACCTGTTTCACACATTATATATATATATGCACATCTATTAGACTATATTGTATTACATTACATTACATTACACTACATTACACTACAATTCATTACAATTTCGTTACATTGCATTACGTCTACGTTGCATTGCATTGCATTACATTGCATTCCATTGCGTTACATTGCATTACAATGCATTACATTGCATTACATTGCGTTACATTGCATTGCATTGCACTACATTACATTATGTATATCGTTTTACATGAAATAAAATAAACCTATACTATATTCCATTCCATTCCATTCCATTCCATTCCATTCCATTCCATTCCATTCCATTCCATTCCATTCCATTCCATTCCATTCTATTCTATTCTATTCTATTCTATTCTATTCTATTACAATACTATTACAATATATTAAGCTATATTATGTTACATTATGTTATATTGCATTATATGATAATACGATATGCTGCTGTGCTATATGACACTATATCATGATATATTATGATATACAATGCCATGTTATGTAATGCCATATCATGATATGTTATATTTTCCTTATACAATGTGATCTTCGTAATATTAAATCAGATTATGTCGCATTATACTGTGTTATACTATACTATACAAAAAGTACATCAGATTTTGGAGTGAATCATATTATATTTATACTATATCAAATTCCATTATGTTATACAATGTTTTGGTATTGTGTTACATCATATTGTATGCCCAATTGTGGTATATCATTTTATATTCTACTAATAAAAACGAAATTATACATATATACACATTTCATGTTATATTATATAGATATATGTACATATACGCCACCCGTTCCCCCACCCCGCACCCCTTAACAACCAATGGATTCATGCAGATTGACCTGTTCGCAAAGGCTGCTGCTACTACTACTAATACTACTACTACTACTACTACTACTACTACTACTACAACTACTACAACAACAACAACTACTACTACTACTACTACTACCACTACTACTACTACTACTACTACTACTACTAAATCTCGTACTACAGCCGCTAAGATGGCAACGTTCCCCCAGGACGAACCTCGACCATGCATTTGCTCATGTGTGTCTCTGTGTTGTTGCAACGGAAGCCGAAACCACTGAAAACAGCGATAGACTCTGTGTCGATTCTATTTGCCTACCGTCTATGTGCACCATAACACAATATCAAACATAAATACAAGCTCCAAGTTCGTGGTTCTGTTTCCTGTCGTGTCACATTCTCCAGCTACTACCAACTACTTACCGCTACCTGTTAACGCTTACTACAGCTGCTACTGCTACCAATACTCGTACATCGCGAAGATCCTGCTATATCGCTCATCTCACCTTGAGCTAATGATGTAGATGTAGTTGATGAGGTATGGTAGCATTCGATTCACGCGTGTCCCTCCTTCAGAGAAGCTGAAGCGCTATCTTCTTTTCCTTGCCCAGAGTTGCTCTGCGCTCTGTCGATGCAAAGGAAAGTGGAATGGCTTGATGTACTGCTAGGACTTGCTAGTGGTTTGGTCTTGAGCCACAATTGTTGCGATTGCGCGGAGCTCGTAAACTGTCGCCTTCTATGACCCGAGTTTCGGAGTCAGAGTAGCGTTGGTTGACCACAGCACTGCATGATTCCGCGTCTGCATTTCATAACATTCATAACTCATGTCATATACATATCTTCCGAACTGACAATGCTTCGATGTCCTTCACACCCCCCGAAGGTAGGGCCTTCGGCTCTGCGCACGAGCTGGAAGATAGGCGCGATTAAACGTAATGGCCTTACTCCGCTGCAACACCTGTGACAGTTTGCCAACCCTTACAACCCAGTTCGAAACTCGTGACACGGCGAACGTCGGTGACACTCCCCTTTTGCGCAGTGTGCGGGCGAGAAAGGTCACTGAAGATCGATTCCGCGAATGCCATGCCATCATTGGAGCAAAATGCTCTGGAAAGGTTTGCCCTTGCCTTTAGATTCCTTCATCACGTCGTGTGCCTTGGAAGGAGGTGGTGTCTTTGGCTCAAGTGGTCGAAATAGGTACTCGCCGAAGACGAAGCATCCATTCCTGATACTGTAGCTCGTCTTTCTTCATCAGAAGACATGGGAATGTCGGCCATGGAGGTCTCTCCTGGCGCCAAATACGAAGAAGACGGCAACGGCCTCACGACCTGTCGAGCACGTGTAGGATCAGCTCTGGCTTTCTGCGTCTTGTTCACTCGAAAGTGTCACACTCAAGTCATAGCGTCATAGCAGGTTGTAGTCAACTGCAATGGGATCTGGTTCAACGCATGCATCTGCAGCACTCCACATGGATCAATGTGAAGCCGATGATCGGCCGAAGCTCCTCCAAAATAGGAAAAATGAGTATCCCCGTGATCTTTCCCACAAGCTCGCATATCAATGTGCGGCACGTGTAATGCATGTCAGACGATGCATTTTCCTGGGTCTTGTGCGTCTCAGGATTGAAAGTCTCCCTCGAATACTTCAACTGATATGCTCCGCGAATGAGGGTCGACAATAGCTGAGAGAATCTGAACTTCTTCCAAAAAAGGTGCCATCACGATCTTTTGTCGCTCGATCATTGCGAAACTTCAATCAGGATTTCGGCATCTGTCTCTTCAGCGCTGATACCCGCCATTGCATCACGGCGTGCAAAATTGCCCACAGGTCCGATTTGATGGTAACGGTATCCGTCTTCAAACTGCTGTCTGATGACGTTGTAGTTGAACTCGAACTTAGTGAAGGCGTTCCAATGCGTGGAGATGCACCGGCACAATGCAAAGCTCATGTCGGTGTAGGCGAGCTGGTGTGCATCAAGCAAATAGCATTCCTTTGATTAGGGAAATATGGCGTCTGCAATGGCACTGAGCTCTTGCCGCAACGCTTTCGACGTGCCTGATGCTCTCTTCTCCATGATGAGAACAAGTTGACGTTCTTCATCATCTTCAACGGCCATGGTTGCCTCCACTGCTGCCACTGCTGCCATTGCTACTGCAATCCCTTACTTGTCGGAACCTCAGTATGAGTTTTGCGAGGCGGTGCCACATTTTGGCAGCGACCACACGATTGGAAAGTTGAGAAACAAGCCGCTCATCTGGCCAAACATGCTGGGTATAGTGCAAGCAAGCAAGGCAAACTCGATATGCCACATCAGAGACTGTTCTTTCACGTTGCTTCATTGGTCTTTCGACGTTCTTGGCGAGACCTGAGGTCCCGGCACTAGAGCCAAAATGGCAGAGCCATTTTGGCAGACGTCTCCAGACATAACTCTTGCGACTAGGCAGGCTCCTAGACAGTACGTAGTAATTAGATAGACAGACAGATGGATGGTTAGTTCGTCACAGCCATTTCCCAATGCTCCGCGAAGTCGACAACGCCAAGTGTCTGAAAGGCCCAAGTTCAAGTTGGCGCGACAGCTCACCTCCGCTCCTTCAGGCATCAAAGCATGGGGCTTCTTGGTGCCTTGTGCCATTTGAAGGCATTTCGAAAGTATCATGGGCCCTAAACCCTCCGGAAAACACAACCTGCGAGTACCTTCTCAGACCCTGGCCGCTTGATGTGGCCGTGCTGGGGTTCAGGTAGATTTCGGCCTTTCATACAATCCAACGCTAGGCTCTCGAGGAGTGGCCAGCTTGTGCTGCCTGATACTGTCTTCCGGGCGATGGGCACGTCATCCGGACCTGCGCTTTTCGGAGAGCCGCATCTACCACCGGAGAGTCATAAAATCTCGCAGAACACAGCATGCACAGCGCATGTGACAACATGATGTGGCATCACGGTTCACTCCTGTCCAGTCGCTCTTTGCAAAAGGGAATTCTAATGGAGTTGCTGAGAATATGAGACATGCGACAGGGTTGTGGTTGATCTGTTGCATTGGGATCCTTCTGGTGTGCGTCTGTGTGTGTACTTCTCGGCTTCAGTCCAACTACTTGACATAATCTGACACTCAGAGAAGGTCGGAACAGCAAGAGGGAAACATCGATCCAACAACTGCCTGCAACATGTCTTTGCTCCACTTTGCAGTAGCTCCGCTGGATTGGCAGGTTCCGATACAGGCTCTGCGCTGGGGCAGAAACGCTACGTTCTCGAACAAACAAGTTTGCATGATCAGAACATCCCAGAACCATGAACTCGGACTGCAAATTCAGGAAATAGGTGAATCAGGCTGAGCTACACATTTCGAGAGACCTTTCCTCGCCACTCGCTCTATCAATGTGCAGACGGACATGCACACGCGCGCACACACAGAACTACGTGACTATGCAGGACCTGCTGGTGCCGTCTCTGAAAACCGACCTCGGAGCTTGCAAGGTCGTAGCAGACAGTGGTATTTGTCCCGTTGATGGGTCGACAAACCTGGCGATCGCATCAGAATCGGAACCCCTCATACATGTGTTCAGGATATAGCACTTCGTGGCTTGGAGGCTGTGCGGGGGTCCGGCCGGGAGGGGTGAGGATCATCATCACCATCATCGGACCCTGGTCACGGTCATCACGGCCGATTTGACGAGCCTGCAAGATCCACGGCACAAAACACCCATCAAGCCTCCGAAACCCTCAGTGCTGAGGGCTTTGCTGGGAACTATGCAAGCAGGAGCTTCAAAACTCACACGGCCCCCCTGGTGCCCAGGGCCTCACTGCTGCCCAATGCTGTGAGCAGCACCGTAGCAGGTGCTGGCATCTGAGCCATAGACTTGCTCGGAGCCTGCCCGTCCAAGCCCAAAAAACGAGAGAGGATCGTACATTTTCTCGTCGCTCGCACTACGTGCGATGCATTTCGTCCAGTTAGGGCTCCTCAGGCTGTGCCTCGAGACTAGAAGGCGTGAAAGATATCGGGCATGAAGCGAAAGTACGTAGCATGAAGCGCACCATTTCGGACATGTCGTAGTACACAGGATTGGTATGGATTGGTAGTGAATGAAATCTCTATGTAACGTGTTCTTCTAACTGAACTCTATGGGACATCATCGCATGTACCGTTGATCGACACACGCTGCACAACATGCCAGTGTATCTTTTGAGCAACATTGACAGCTCGGATGTTTGGCGAACTGCTGTACTTGAGCTGAAAGAAGAACTATCGATCGCGCATTGAACCAGATCGCAACCTGTTCTGTCATTTCTGCACTGTGCTGGTTGCAAGAATCTCCGCATCATGTCGCTTCTAACCTCGATATCTGACCACCTCCTACTACTACAACAACAACTACTACTACTACTACTACCACCACCACCACCGACTACTACTACTACTACTACCACCACCACCACCACCACCACCACCGACGACTACTGCTA